TGCCTCACTCTTAACACCCTCTCTAGCAAAAATAAAAAAATCCTCTGGACGGCCATGCATTATGGCTCAAGGCATGGGCACACAGAATTTTTGTTTATGTTAGGCACCGGGGTTAAAATTTATTGCATTTTCTGTTTTTTTTTAAATTTATGGAAACTGCCCCCTACCCTAGCCCCCCGCTGCGTACAGTCATGGTTCAGTGACAAAGCAATGGCCTCGTAACTGTGAGGCCCCAGGATCAAAACCGTGTCGGTGTGCTATATTAGTGCCCTTTTGTGGGCCATTAATCCTCATTACTGTCATTTATGACTTAAGGGCATAGGTCCCCTAGTTGATAAGCATAGTAGCATACACATGCTTTAGCAGTCACGCAAAACACACATTGGCAAATTATTATTCAATAAAATCTGAGAATGTATACTATTATCTAGATCTATTATTTTTAAATTATTTTTTAAATTATTCCATAAATTGGAATTAAACAAAATATTCCACCTTTATGAGCGACAGTGTATGATATCCACTACAATTCGTTTTCAGATCTAGCTCACGCACACAAAAGAATTGCAATTTGTTGTTGTTGTTGTTCACGTGCCACCTCTTCACAACTACTACAAAGGAACCTGGATAAATCGAAACCCCCCTCCCTCCCCGGGCATACGACTGCTCTCGTCCGTGATTTTTCGACTAAGAAGGCATCTTCAAAGCCCCGTTGCATCACTTATAGCTACTTGCGCCCTCTATATAACAAACAATGCCTAATCAATGACCATTGGTCCCCCATGATCCTCTTTATCTTATGTTTACTGAGAGATGATTTAATGAGACAACCACCTGTCCAGTCACTCCAGTGACCTTACAGGGTGGTCTAATCCCTCCTGTAAAATAGTACAGATGGGCTTTAAACGTAAAAACACAATTGCGAGATGTGATTTAAACATTAATAATGATGTAGATATATTATTCATTCAAAATCATACATTATGCACCAGGACTGCAAGATTGATGAATGCATAAAACATTTAATTTAAAAAACATACGCATAGTTAGTTGTCATCACAGCCACCCAATGTCTTATTTTAGTCCACAATTTAAAAGACCATAGCACAATAATTCACTCCAGGGCAATTTAATTGCCCTTTTCTGTATAACCCATATAAATTATGTTCATATTACGTAATGCGTCATTATAATGTCCTCATTTTTGAACAAGTGACGGACAAGACTACTGAAATTGCCTACAGCTGAGTTTTTCGAAAGTCTCTGCGATTGAGATTTATATCGTAGAGATCCGTAATGGCAGATTAGTTAAAGAGTTTTGAAAACATCTTAAAAAGTATGTATTTGATTCGGCCTAATTACAATTAATCACCTTTCTCTTTCATGTGAATGATGCTTTATACTACTCCTGCTGTTGTCTTGTTTATAATGCAGATGTTATTTAAATACTAATATGGATATTTATATAGCGATAGTATCCGCCAGGCTCTGACGCTCATGGCGCTTTACACAATTACCCGGGTTATTGGTTAAAAGTACACAGTTGTTCCATAACAGCAGTAATATAAAATACAATTATCATTTTCTGACAGTGAATAATAAATAAACAAATATATATAACAATTGTTATTTTCAAAAACGAAGTGATAAACTGTCATAAATACTAAACTTCATCAAACATTATACAATTATTTGCGGAAGAAGGACTGCGTACATCAACCATCAGGGAGTAGTTACTAAGAAGAGAAAGGTTAATCCACATTTTATCAGTGTAATGCAATGAGACATGTTGTCCCTCCAGTTGTAACACAGGCAGGCTCGAAACCAGAGGGGGGGGGGGGGGGTTCGCGGGGTTCGATCGAACCCCTTAACATTTTCAAAGGTTAAAAAAGGGGGAAGAAAAGAGATAAAAGAGGAGAGGAGAAGAGGAGAAGAGAAGAGAAGAGAAGAAGGTCCGGTTTGAAAGCACTTCAGAGGGTCCCCCATACACCTAATTCAATTCAATTCATTTATTTTTCCTCTTTCAATCGTTCATATTTACAATGGTGGTACATTTTAACATATTCACATATTTATATACATATAGATCAATTTGCACAATACAATACATTAAACAAATAAACATGAAATTGAAAGGGAAGGAGGGCCGACTAAAAAGCAGAGCTTGTAGGGTGTAAGCCCCCCTGTAAAAGTAATTATTATGAATTACTATTTTATGAGAAAGAAAAACAAAACAATAACAATAACTGAGTCAGTAATACAAAAAAAAATCACTTTTAAACGCAAAACATTGATAAATACATACATGTTATTATGTTAAATTATATTTAATTGGAGAATGCAATAGCATAGTAACTATTCAGAAGAAAGCTTTTAAGTCTCCTTTTGAAAATTTGTATCGAATTACACTGTATAATATCATTTGAAAGAGAATTCCACAGTTTTGGACCTGTAAAAACAAATGTCTTTTGTGCAAAAGATGTTCTATTTAATGGTAGATGAACAGAGCTCGCCTGGCGAGTGAGGTAACTATGAACCGAATCATTTCTTACGAACGTATCATTAGCAGACAATGGTAATTGTTTAATGTTGAGCTTCTACATTAACTGTCCTAGCTGAAAAATATACAAGTCTTTAATTTTCACCCACATCCCGATGTTAAAATAGCTTAAAACCGGGGTCGTCATGCAGGTCCAATCCCCACTCGCCAACATTCTATTAACGATGGGTAACAGGGGCGAGGTTACTCGTTCAAGTGAGAGCTGGTACCGGTATGATATTTGTTCTCTGCGCCGCCAGTGCCTAAAGCGCGGATGTACTTATAGGCAGTAGCTTACCAGGTTTTTTTTTTTTTTAAAGGGGAGGGGGTATTTTGTTTTTAAAAATCAAAGCCGACACCAAGTACCTTCACAAATTTCGAAGCCGAGACCAAGTTGTTTCAAAATTGGAAACCCCTCTCAGAGGGTGGGGGGGGGGAGGGGGGTTCGTACATTTTTGTTCGACTCCGAGACCGAGTACTATTAAAATGTTCAAGACCGAGACAAAATACTTTCAAATTTGTAAACCCCTCGCAGTTAGGTTTAGTGTGGTCTAGTGTTCATTCTATTTTTTCAGATACCCCTGAAGAAAAAAAATACGCAGTGCTCACACTACTCCCCCCTCCCCCACTTCTTTCCCTAATAATTTAATGAAACGTCAACGCTTACGCGCTTTGCGCGGGAGAGGGGAAATTGAATTAAGAAAAAGATTAAAAGTCGAGAACGGTACAATATTATTAACGCATCGTCTTCTTTCTCTGATAATTTAATGAAACGTCAAAACCTCAGCGCTTCGCTTGGGAGGGGGGGGGGAAACTGAATTCGAGAACGGTACAACGAATCGTCTTCTTTCTCTAATAATTTAAAGAAACGTCGAAGAAAAGAAAAAAGCAAAATAGGGCGTTTTGGGGTCTTAAGAAGCATGAAAACCCAGGGGCTTCACAGGGCTCTGCACCCCTGAACTCCCGACGGAGCGTTGTCCCTGGACCCCTAGCCGTTTAAAAACGAACCCCCTAATTGAAAACTCTGGTTACGGGCCTGCAAGGTATCGCTCAAATTGCCAATTTGAGATTTACACAGATTTCATATTAGATTTAGTGATCATAACTGTCAATTTTGTTTGAAATCATTGTTGTTGATAAAGTGTGATAAAATATGATGATTTGACAATTTATCTGTTATTTTTCTGTAAATTAATAGTTAATTATTCTTAATCAATTGTCAGAAAGTACATCTTAGTGTTTTATGTCTGTGATGTTGCCGATTTTTAAAAATGTTATTATTAACATGAAATGCAGAATAATAAACTTAAAAATAGGTATAGCACACCAAAAATAATTACAACAAACACATGTTATTTGATGGGTGCAAGTGGTCAAGCTTTATGAAAGCTTCAAAAAACAAAAAAACAGAATTGAAATCGGTCAATGCGTTGTGATTTAATACCATTCTTTTAACATCACAAAATTACCGATAAACCTGCCAGAAAACAATGGTCAAATTGGCAAAAATGGCATCAGACAGGTATGGAAATATATTTCATTTGAAATTTACAAAAATCATGAATATTCATCAAATATGCAAGTTAGGTCATTTCAGCTAATTATATATTCGCGCACTCATTATGCAAATTAGGAAGGTCAAACTGTTCATTTTTGGGGCATTTTTTAAATCATATATTCATAGATTATATTTACACCAAATATTAACCTTAAATTCCTAATATTTTTGCAATGCCAATAAAATATGGCGATGGAAATTACTTGGATCACCGTCACAGCTATTTCCTCATGTGTTTCACAAACTATTCAGAAAAACCGATCATATGATAAGAATTTATAGACTTCAGCTACATCACAGTATATTTGCCTATTTAAAAGATGTCAGATTTAAGGATTTATGATGATTTTCCGAGAAACCATTCAACAGGCCATAACATTCCACAAGGACTGAATTTCAGAGGCACAAAACTTTGATGACCCCAGTACATTTGTGGCTACCTTGAGTGTAAATAAAAAATGATTCAATGAGTGAAACACATGAGGATATGACATTTTTGTAGGGGAGTTTTATACATTGAGGTGCATTTCACCACGCAGAATAGCAGCGCGAGTCAATGGGCAATCAGCGGGCCATGTCACACATGGCTGAAAAGACCATAGTCTAATTAAATAATTAACATAATTTCCATATGCCTATAACAATGAAACTACACAGAATTGTAGTTAAAGATATGCTTGAAATATATGTGAAATAAAAAATTAAAAATATTGTTTAGTTTTTTTAAATACATTTACAAAAATTGCTATTTCTACCAACTGACTGCTGTTGTGTGTGTGTGTGTTCGCGGGGCAGACTGTTTGCACAGGCAGTGTGATCACCCTATTAAAAATCAAATATATGAAAACAAATCAAATAGATCTTCGTTTAGCTTTCACCAACCCGTCTCCACGATGTTCTTTCTTGCTTCTCAACTTGCTACCAAGGTTGGACTGCCCTCTAACTCCATGTAAAGCGCTTGCCCAACATATTTTCTAGTTGAGTATTGTAGGGCCGGAAGTAACTTCTCAGTCTCCTGATGACGTCCTTATCAACGTTTGGATGAGGTCTCCCTTTTGTAGCTCCCGCGCAGTCGGTACCCGAACCGCGCCGTCTCGACATGCAGAAGAAGCCTTTCTGTTCGTCAAAGTAGATGATCTTTTCGCTGAAGTAGTTAGGAATACCTAAGAAAGACTCGACCTGGAATCAATACAAATATTTATAATTACACGGTTTTGTACAGCGCATAACAAAAATGCAGAATTGCATGTCTCTATGCGCTTTACAGAACAGAATACATGCAGAAGGAATGGAAATGGTACACTGAGTTCATAATTTTTAGATCTAAGATAGTGCTAAATAGATATGTTTTTCAAATTACTTCTTAAATTAAAAAGGGGAAGGGTGGAGGCAAGGGAGAAGAATGTTTCATTGATGATGATCGTTTTTACAATAGAAAAGAAATAAAAGAGTTTATATTTTCTATTAATCATAATAATGATACCGATTATTTTCTTTTCAGAATGTTAGATAGGTTAAGGGCAGGTGCGTCGACTGATTGGGCAAATGCCCTATCTTTAGATACACCCCCTCCCCCTCCTGTGCGATCCAAAGATGGTGGACGTTTAACAATGCTCGGGATGGGGCGGCCCCATGGGGCACTTGGGAATGGCAAACTGCCCCCTCCCCCACAGACACGCACAAACACAATCGACGTCCCTGGTAAAAGAAGTTAACATGGAATGAACAAAATACCCCCTCCCCTTTAAAAAAAAAAAAAAACCTGGTAAGCTACTGTCTCATAATACTTTTAGAATATGACATGTAATGACGGCCTCTTTTTTGTTTCCTTTTCTGTATTTGGTTGCTACTTTAACTGAATGTGATTGTATGCCAAATAAACCTGGGGGAAACGGAGAGGCACTGTAAAAAACAGAAATAGAAAGGAGTGGACAGGGGTGGGGCAATGAGATAGAAACATAGAGATATGGAACTGAAAAACGTGGAGAAGGAGTATTTAAGAATGGCCTACCTGTTGTAAGACTGGTAAAGGATTCTTAACAAATTCATCGTCATCTATGACGAGGAACTGACGTCGAGGAAAAAGCTCAATCCATTTCTTAAGATATACCACGTATGCACTGTGCGAAAGGATAGAATTATCCGTGTTGACTTCATCATTCGGTTTAATGACGGATCCTTCAAAGGTTGTATTGAGGTAAGTCTTCGGTTCATTGCCTGGTTTAACTATCCGCGGTATAAAGAACCTCGGATGTGCGACACGCTGTTGATGGAGGTAATCGGACACAGCTCGGACAATCGGATCCCGGATCATGACGATGAATTTGGTCTCGGGCATCAGCGCTTTGATCCTCGCCGGCGTGTCTTTCTCAAAGATGTACGACGGCGTTTTCTCCATTGTTACCTGGTGTTTGGAGGAGATTGGCATCTGGTCTCGGTACCACTCGAGGCTCTTCTCTTTATTCCTGTTCCAATAGTAAATCTCTTGGGGAACAGAATGGACGAGAGAAGGGTGGCTGGCCAGGAAGAACGACAGGGCTCCGGTCCCGCACTTTGCCATCCCGATCCCGATGACGTGAGGAAGCCGCTTCTTACAGTCTAACTGGGCAAGGATGCTAGGATCTACGGCGGAGTCCTTCGTCGGACATTGCATCGTAGTCAGGTCTATATCAGGAAAGTTCGTCTCGACGCCTGCAGAATTAGAACCATTGCGCTCACTTTCAAGATGGCTGCCGTGCAGCGTGTCTTGCTCGATGATTTCCGCTGTGGCATGGGTTATTGAACACTCCATGAAAGGTGAGGCATAGCTGGAAATGCAATAACACATACCAATTACAAAACTTCCAAATATGATACCAGCTACAAAGGATCTTTGCGGCCTAATGTACGTTTTCATGGTTACTTTATCACTTCACCTAGTATAACGTTTGGATTAGAAGGAGTTGCTCTAAGCAGGAACCATGCACTTTACCGGTCACCGTATAATCCGGCTCATTTCAGACCTCCTTTCAAGATGGTAGATTCGAGGTTAACGGTGTGGGAATCATTCAGAAAACGTTTGGATAGTATTGACTTGATGCAACAATTTTATATTTCAAATATATTTGATTTTCCGGTTCTTGTACAATCCGGAATCCTCACATAAAGAAACCGTCGACTATCACAAACCGTCTCAGTTTTCAATAGTCATCCGCATGTACTGCACGAACATCCAACTTCCAGCGTTACCTAAAGAGAAAAAAAAAGAAAAAAAAGGGTGCTCTTAAATCATGCTCGAAAAAGGCTACTTACAAGCTTGCACATTTTTTTTAACAAACTTAAAAAACAACAAACAAACAAACCGAAACTAAAACCAAAGCGGTAGTAGTAGATGTTATTGTTGTTGTAGTGATGATTATCATTATTAATATTGTTATAATTATTTATTATTATTGTTTTTTAATAATAATCATTATTGTTGTTTTAGTTTGTTTTTGTTTTTTTGGTTGCTTTTGTTGCATTTTGTTTCAGTTATTATTAGTAGTAGTATATGATTGGTATTGAATGGAATTAAATCGAGTTGAATTTATTTGATGCAATGTACAAATCAAATTACATTTCACTCATACAACATATCCAAAAAATTATAATGTTTGAAATTTGTACACAGTTTTATCATAATAAATCTGGACATTAAAACAGAATGCCACTGATAACACACTACCACTAATTATTTATTATGAAATGTGCAGAAGAAGGGCTATCACAGTAAGCGCTAGCCTTGCTTGATAGCGTGATAGCCCGAGATGGATGAAAGGGGGTGGATGACGGAGGAAAAAAATGATGCTGATGATAATGATGATGGTGGTCATGATGTTGATGAATATGATGTTACTGAAAATGAAGAAAAAAATATGCTGATGTACAGATAATGTCTGACACAAAAAACTAATATAAGTATACTGGAGTTACAAAATATAGAATTCTGGAAATAATATTTAATATCAATTCAGCACTGGGAAAAGATCAAACAACTGTACTTTGACAGAAATGTTTGCTTCGTATTCAATTTGAATAAAATTAAGGTTTTACATGATTTTATTGAGTCTAAAACTGCATTCCCTAAAATCTGGAGCATGATGTCTTATTGATTTATGCAGAATAAATCATTTTGGATTTTGTTCGTATTTGATTTGAATTTATTTAGGGTTTTACATGAATTGAGGTTTTATTATCCAAACGTTCAAATACAGTAATATATTAAACAATAATAACAATAATACCAATAATAAATGTATGTTTAACAAATATCTCGAATGAATAATAGGGACCAGAAAAATAGCATAAAATGCTAATCATGTCTGGTACCTTTAACGTATAGTATCTTAACATTTAACAATTTGTGTATATATACCGTATATATTATTATTATTATTGTTATATGAATTATTGAATACTTGTACAACGTAAACTATACTTTTCTATGTATCTTACACAATACAAAGCCTAAACTTGTATAAATAGACATTCCGTATAAGATAATACAGTAAAGTATCATAACTGTTTACAAATATAGAGTACATGTTAATTGTCTGATAAAAGGCAAGAAGCTTGGTTTAATAAAAGGTGGCCATAGTTATTCTACCGGTTAAAGTACTACAAAAACAAGAAACGTATTAAGCTTTTTCCCGAGATAAAGGTAAATTATTCCAGAAGCATACGCATCTGTACGACACAGAAAATGAACCTTGGGTTATCCTTACTTTAGGCATACTTAGCTTTTAATTTTCTATTTGATTGAGTCTAAGAGTGTAGTCCATAAATCTGGAGTACTACTAAAACAAGAAACTGAAGCCTTTTCCCGTTGAGATAAAGGTAAATCAGTCCAGAAGCATACGCATCTGTATGACACAGAAAATAAACATTGCGTCGTCCTTACTTTAGGCATACTTGGCTTTTTTTTCTTCTATTTGATTGAGTCTAGGAGTGTATTCCATAAATCTGGAGTTTCTGGACCATGGTGTTTTATTTATTTATGCATGATCAAAAATTTAGGATGCATCAGTTAAATGAATTCCGAGGAGGGTAAGATTGGACAGTGTTATGCAATAAAAAGAAATTCTTAGATGAATCAGGAAGCAGGGGAAAAATAGTACTAAACATTAGGTCTATATTGTAACGACTGCAACTCAATGAAAATGGAATACATACAAGAAAATACCCTTCAGTGATATTACATGATAATGACAGTAATCAATTTCAATTAACCTTCAAAGTACATGTATAGCAGCAACTCGTCACGTTTATGCATGGTCCTGAAATTAGTTAACAATTGTCTTTTATTTTGTCGTAGACTGTTTCAACAAATCATCACATTTCATATAGCAGTATATACACAAAAGAAGTCTCTCTCTCTCTCTCTATATATATATATATATAGAGAGAGAGAGAGAGAGAGAGAGAGAGAGAGAGAGAGGGTGGATCGATAGAGAGAGTGGTGAAGTGTGACGTCATCTTTTTACTTTCATGATGATACGAGATGAGCTCTGACCAAATATTCAACATGTCGTCATCAAGGAATACTATGTATAAAGTACCGAAGCTGTGACATCATAAAAATCTATTTTTTTTAGAATTTCTCCTTTTTTTCTTCTTCATTTTCCGAATGAGGATCAAAAATAATGTCCGAATGTCGAAAAAAACAAAAAAACAATTGAATATGTCAAGTATTGGCTGAGATATGACCATCTTAATAAATTTATGTCCTATGGGAACTCAGTGTTATGTGCTCTGGCTCCTAACCATTACGAGCCAGCACTATAACACAGAGTTCCCATAGGACATACATTTATTCAGATGGTGATATCTCAGCCAATATACTTGACATATTCAATTGGCTTCGTCATTCGGACATTCTTTTTGATGCTCTTTTGGAAAATGAAGAAAAAATTGAGAAATTCTTAAAAAATTGATTTTTATGATGTCACAGCTTCGGTACTCTATACATAGTATTCCTTGATGACGACATGTTGAATATTTGGTCAGAGCTTATCTCGTATCATCATAAATGTATAAAAGTATATACTGCGCAAACGTATATGAACGCCCTAATAAGCAATAGGTCTACTTTTTTACTTGTAGAGAAAGTGTCAGCACTTACCGAAATGCATCGATTGCAAAATCTGTGATAGAAATGAAAATCAAATTACATCCTTCTGAGATTTCCAGTGAATTGGCCACTTCTGAACTGCTCGAATATTAGATTTACGGACCATGAGCGTAGTAGTTGCTTTCACTTGTATTCCCTTCCTGGAGTCCCCACGCATTCATGATTGTGGCAGCTATATATAGGCCTATATTACTCTTTAATACTTTGTGTGCGTGTGTGTGTATATAGAGTTTGCGTGTGCTACAGTAGAACGTCGCGCAACAGTGCCCACCAAGCCACTGCAAAAGCGTCCCTTTATTTCGATGTATTTTTTCAGGGTTCAGGAACAATCTAAAAAAGACCCCGTTACGTAACTTTCCCTGAAAGTGTCAAAGTGCACTGGTGAGCACTTGTATTGTTACGCAGTAATGATGTGACATTTTGAAAAGTGTGACTCACATAATATTTCAAAACATTAAAGGGATAGTTGAGTTCTGTTTTCAGACCGCAAATGCCTTAAAACTTTGGAGACGTCGGGCTTTTACAGAAGTCCAGATATATCCCTAATATTTTGACAAAGTTTTCCAGCTAATCATTAGCTATTATGCGCTAAAGTTCTTTGAAGTAATTTTTCGATATATAGTCATACATCACATATATTTTTTTTTTTAAAAAGATACGTGGAAAAAATCGAGAAAAGGTGATATCATTTCAACTTTACCCTAAGTTAGTGTTCGGATCGAAAAAAAGGCCCTTGAAATACCCGTACAGCTGGAGACGGACGCGTACGTGTGCGTCCGTTCTATATTTTTGCCTTGATTCAAGGCTTTGGATTATAGGTTTTGTTGATGAAGATGATTACATGGCGATTTTCCATCGGTGATTGGATGATTTTCGCTGGGCAATATGAGAGGGCGTTGTTTTCCTCACATTTTCATAGATGTATTGTAGTTATTCATATTTTAATATTATTAGGCCTATATAATAGGCCTATTCATAAAGACCTAGGACTTTTCATATTAAATAACATTTGCGATACGCCGCGTTTCACTTGGCTACAAATAACCGACCTTACTCTCAACTGTGTAAGTATAAAAGTATGCATTGATAAAATGAAAAGCGTATTGTCAGAGTTCCGGCTCTGGTAATTATAGGAGAGAAGAAGTACCAAATCATTTGATCAATGCATACTTTTATACTTACACAGTTGAGAGTAAGGTCGGTTATTAATAGCCATTAAGTGAAACGCGGCGTATCTCAAATTTTATTTAGGCCTACTATATAGGCCTAATAATATTAGTATATGAATAACTACAATACATCTATGGAAATGCGAGGAAAACAACGCCCTCTCATATTGCCCAGCGAAAATCATCCAATCACCGATGGAAAATCGCCATGTAATCATCTTCATCAACAAAACTAATAATCCAAAGCCTTTAATCGAGGCAAGAATATAGAACGGACGCGCGCGTACGCGGCCGTCTCCAGATGTACGAGTATTTCAAGGGCCTTTTTTTCGATCCGAACACTAACTAAGAATAAAATGGAAATGATATCACCTTTTCTCGATTTTTTCCAACTATATGGACCAATACTGCCCAAGCAGACGACATCCCATAAAGAATGAACATAACTGCAAAGCTATTATTTGTCAAATTATAATGAGTTTATTGTATATAAATGTAATGGCATGTCAAACCATTCAAAAGGGGATATGACCCGATTCTGAAAACTAACATCTTTTGCTTGTGAATACACAGGATAGGGGTTCATTAACAATCAAAGAAACCAGACTTTCAAATTGAAAACCCCCCTGAATGATATTAAGGGCGGCATTTGTTCCCTCTTGAAACGCCGAACATACCGGGGTGTTACGTAACGGGGTCTTTTCAGATTGTTCCTGAACCCTGAAAAAATACATCGAAATAAAGGGACGCTTTTGCAGTGGCTTGGTGGGCACTGTTGCGCGACGTTCTACTGTAGCACACGCAAACTCTATATACACACACACGCACACAAAAGTATTAAAGAGTAACATAGGCCTATAGCTTCCACAATAATGAATGTGTACAGACTGCATGAAGGGAATACAAGTGAAAGCAACAACTACGCTCATGGTCTTAGGTTAAAATCTAAAATTCGAGCAGTTCAGAAGTGACCAATTCACCGGAAATCTCAGAAGGATGTAATTTGATTTTCATTTCTATCACAGATTTTGCAATCGATGCATTTCGGTAAGTGCTGACACTTTCTCTACAAGTTAAAAGTAGACCTATTACTTATTAGGGCGTTCATATACATTTGCGCAGTATATACTTTTATATTTTTATGATGATACCGTTGATACGAGATAAGCTCTGACCAAATATTCAACATGTCGTCATCAAGGAATACTATATATAGAGTACCGAAGCTGTGACATCATAAAAATCTATAAAAAAATTAGAATTTCTCAATTTTTTTCTTCATTTTCCAAAAAAGCATCAAAAATAATTTCCGAATGTCGAAAGCCAATTAAATATGTCGAGTATTTGCTGAGATATGACCATCTGAATAAATGTATGTCCTATGGGAACTCTGTGTTATAGTGCTGGCTCGTAATGGTTAGGAGCCAGAGCATATAACAGTACACTGAGTTTCCATAGGACATAAATTTATTCAGATGGTCATATCTCAGCCAATACTTGACATATTCAATTGTTGTTTTTTTTCGACATTCGGACATTATTTTTGATGCTTTTTCGGAAAATGAAGAAGAAAAAAGGAGAAATTCTAAAAAAAAAAAAAATGTTTGATGACGTCTCACTTCACCACTCTCTCTACCCCCCCCCCCCCCCCCCCTCTCTCTCTCTCTCTCTATATATATATATAGAGAGAGAGAGACTTCATTTGTGTACATACTGCTATACGAAATGTGATGATTTGTTGAAACAGTCTACGACAAATTGAAACTCCAGATTTATGGAATACACTCTTAGACTCAATCAAATAGAACATAAAAAGCCAAGTATGCCTAAAGTAAGGACAACGCAAGGTTCATTTTCTGTGTCATACAGATGCCTATGTTTCTGGAATGATTTACCTTTATCTCTCCGGGAAAAGCTTCAGTTTCTTGTTTTCGTAGTACTCCAGATTTATGGAATACACACTTAGGCTCAATCAAATTAATAGAAAATTAAAAGCTAAGCATGCCTAAAGTAAGGACAACGCAAGGTTCATTTATGTGTCATACAGATGCGTATGCTTCTAACATTCCAGGGGGCTCACCTTCCAGGGGCAGTGACGTAATGAGCAAAAACGTTTGGAAGGGGGGGCAGAAGAAAAATCTGCATCACCACCACTCTTACACGTTACATGCAGGCCCCGCGGAACGTTTTTCAAAGTGGAGTATTAACAATCAGGTAGGACGTAAATTGGCTTGGGGTCCAGGGTCTGAGCCTCGGCAGGGGTCAAGGGCCTGAGCCCCCGGAAGCTCAGGGTTTTTAGGCATTAAATTACGGCCCGATAAGCATTTTTAGATACCTTATTTGTGACACTGGCAGGTCACTAATTGGCGGAGAGTCCAGGGAGGAGAGCCCCCGGAAGCTCAGGGGTTTTAGGTATTTAATTACGGTTATATGAGCATCCAGGGGCCCTCTTTAAGGCCATTGATGTGATCCAGGGGGCAGAGCCCCCGGAAGCTCAGAGGCTTTAATATTTAACTACGGTCAGATGAGCATCCACGGGCCGCCTTAGGGCCCTTTGTGTGGTCCAGGAGGCAGAGCTCCCGGAAGCTCAGGGGCGTTAGGTATTTAATTACGGTCAGATGAGCAGCCAGGGGCTGCCTCAGGGCCCTTGGTGGGGTCCAGGGGGCAGAGCCCCCGGAAGCTCGGGGGTTTTAGGCATTTAATTACGGTCAGATGAGCATATTTTGATACCTCATTTGTGACATTGGCAGGTCACTTATTTTTTCTCTCTCTCTTCCTTTCTTTTTCTCTGTAACATCTTTTTTCAAAAAGTGAGGGGCTCAGACCATAACATGACCAAGGCTTCTAAATAAGCATATTTTTCGCCCGACTGTAAATTTGGGAATTTCTAATTTTCCAACAAACGCATAAAAAGGTATGACTTACAACAAAATTGAGAACAAATACTGGAAAATCATGACATTTCAGCAACGTTTGTAAATCACTGGTATCGAATAAGAAATAACCCCCCCCCCCCCCATCAGTACGCCACTGTTCAGGGGCTCATGTCTTCTCACGCCTATAACAAAAAATAGACACGTTTCCCTTTCTTTCACAATATGCCCACGATATGCGCGTATTGTTATTATAAAAACCTCCATTGATAAATATAGGTGGCATGCGCAATGTTTAGGAAATTTAATTCCTGTTAACTTTCCTTTTCTTTGAATGAAATTGTATATGTGATTTAATTCAAGTCTTTATTATTGTTATGTTCTTTTGGGTTAAAAATACAACCATCTTTACCCTTTTTTTTTTTGGAAGGGGGGGGTGTTTTTTTTTTGTTTGTTTGTTTGTTGTTGTTGTTTTTTTTTTGGGGGGGGGAATGCGTTTCCCCCCCCCCCCCCCCCCCTGCCACCCCACTTCCGGCGCCTATGCTTCTGGAATGATTTACCTTTATCTCTACGGGAAAAAGCTTCAGTTTCTTGTTTTCGTAGTACTCCAGATTTATGGAATACACTCTTAGACTCAATTCAATTTCAATTTATTCAGCCAATCATTAAAAACAATTTACAATGACACTGGTATTGGAACAATAATTATATTTTGATGATAGGCTATGGACCCCTTAGAAGAAGAGCTTTTAAATGGGGTCCATTAACATAGAATTAAATACAAATATGATAAAAACATGCTATAACAAGCAAAACAAGAAAGAGAAACATGTATATTCATACTTATTACAAAACAATTACAAATATCTTGCAAATACACTCAGCCATACTCACTCTCTCTCTCTCACACACACACACACACGCACAGACACACACACACACACACACACAATGCAATATACTTTAACGTATATTATAAAAGAGAGAGAGAGAGAGAGAGAGAAGAAGAAGAGAGTAGAATATTTAAAAGAAAAAGGAAGACGAGGAAACACATGAAAAATGCGAAATATGAGATTAAAACTTATAGTCCTACCCAGTTTTACAAATTAATAAATAGTTCCCTTGTGCTCAAATTTTTAAACCTAGACAAAGTTGAACTTGATCTTATATCCTGGTTTAAATCATTCCATGTGCTTAGTCCCACATTTCTAAATGATTTCAGTGCATGGGTTGTACGAACAGGGGGTTTGTGTAATAACATTTGTTGTCTTGTGTTATGTGAATGAACGGATGAATTACCAATAAACATGTTTTGAAAAATGTGTGGAAGATTACCAGTGTGGAAATGATACATAAATATACAAGTATTAAGTGATATTAGTTCTTGGACAGGAAGAACCTTCATTCTGCTAAATAATAGTTTCGTATGAGAATTATACATTGAATATGTTAAAATTCGAATTGCCCTCTTTTGAAGTATTTTCATTTTGTCTAGATAAAATGAATATGAATTTCCCCCACATTATATTGCAGTAAGATAAATGGGGTAATACTATCGAGTTGTATAATAACATTAGAACGTTTTGGGGAACGGTAAATTTTAATTTTGATAATACTCCAATGCTTCTAGATACTTTCAAAGTTACATTTTTAATGTGGGTCTTCCAGTCCAGGGATTCGTCTATAGTAACACCAAGAAAGGATAGTGAATGTACACGTTGAAGGACTATGTTGTTAACAGAAATGTCATTAATGTCTCCGGGAACTCTCTTGTTCTTTGAATGAAATATGATGTAGTTTGTTTTCTCTTGATTGAGAAGTAAGTTATTACTCTGAAACCATACAAGCAATTTATTTAATTCTTCATTGACCAGCGCAATCAGTCTGTGTGCATTTCTATGGGATATGACAACTACGGTGTCATCTGCGAATAATGAAAACCGAAAGCCACTAGTACAACATCATTACCATACAGCAAGAACAGGAGATGTCCCAGTACAGACCCTTGCGGTACCCCACATGATAGTTCTTTGAAGTTGGACTCGACATCAACGACGACCACATATTGCTTTCTACCCATTAAATATGATTTGAACCAGTTTAAGGCTACTCCTCTTACGCCATAATAACATAATTTATCAAGAAGAATGTCGTGGTCGATGGTGTCGAATGCTTTTGAAAGATCCATAAATAGCCCTAAACAAAAATTACCATTATCTAATGCATTTATTACATAATCTGACATATTCAAGACACCATGAGCGGTCGAATGACCTTTCCTAAATCCAAATTTTTCATTAATTAATATCTCATATTTGGTAAGAAAACTATACAATCTATTATTCTCTCCAACAATTTGGAAAATATAGTTAAAATTGCAACCGGTCTATTATCAATTATCTATATTTTGTTTACAGTTTTTTTTTATATAGCGGCACTACTTTTGCTATTTTAAAAGCATCTGGAAACACACCAGTGGTTAATGATTTGTTGAATATGTCACATAATGGTTCCACACAACAAAAGATTGCTTCTTTCACTACCCGAGGGGATATGTCATCACAACCATTTGCTTTAGATGGATTAAACGAAGCACAAATATTTGTTAATTCATAAACGGTAGTTGGCTTTAAAACATGGAGGCAATGTGTTGTGAACTGAGATATTTTTCATAATTCTTATGTAAACATGAAATGGAATTTGATACTTTCTTACCTATACTGGAAAAATACGAAATGAATTCCTCAACAATCTGTTCACGCGAAGAATACTTATTTTTACCAGAGAACATTTCACATGGTATAACATTGTGCTTCTCATTACCAAGTATAATATTAATTTCATTCCAGGTCTTTTTTATATTTCCTTTAAATTTCTGAAAGATATCATGAAAATATCGTTTTTTAGTACTTCTAATAACAGATGTTAGTCTATTTTTAAACACAGTATATTTCATTAAGGAATTCTAATTTGGTTTGTGTTTGTAAAGACGATTCTTCTTTTTTTACAGAATGAAATATACCGTTTGTAGTCCATGGTTTACGGAGTTTATACCTAGTTTTGTTTTCATTTACTAAAGGGAAACAATCATTATACAAAGTGGTAGATTTCTTTGCAAAGTAATCATAACTAGCATTTGCATCACAATTTTTATAAATGCAGACCAATCGATCTGTAATCATTTCGTTTTGAATTTGTGCATTCTATCATCAGTTATCAATCTCCTTTTAACTTTAACATTGCTATTTACTATGTGCTCTTGTTATTTTGTCTCTATTTTAATCAAACAGTATATTGGGAAGTGATCCGATAAATCAGTATATAACAAAACAGATTCAATATTTTCATGAAAAGAATTCAGGAAGATATTGTCAATTAGAGTACAAGATCTTGAAGTAATTCGTGTGGGTTTGGAAATAATTGGATACATGTTCTATGTGAACATGGTTTCCAAAAACTCATTATGTGAATAAAAATTAAGCAAATTAATATTGTAATCACCCATCAGATATACTTCTTTTTTTTCCTTTTTCAAATACATCCAAACTTGTCTTAAGTTTATCATTAAATAGAAAATAAAGTATGCCTAAAGTAAGGACAACGCAAGGTTCATGTTCTGTGACATACAGATACGTATGCTTCTGGAATGATTTACCTTTATCTCTACGGGAAAACGCTTCAGTTTCTTGTTTTCGTCGTACTCCAGATTTATGGAATACACTCTTAGACTCAATCAAATAGAAAATTAAAAGCTAAGTATGCCTAAAGTAAAAACAACGCAAGGTTCATTTTATGTGTCATACAGAGGCGTATGCTTCTATTATATATCATATCTACATATTCTGAGATGTTCATGGTCGCAGCTACTATTGTCCGGCTGTAGGCGCTATTTGAAATTTATCAAAATTTACCGGGAGCACCGATAAATTTTAATATTCAAATTTTTCTCGAAATCAGAAGTGTTTTAGAAGCTAAATTTTCTAGTGCTTATAAAACATCCATAGGGGCATCCAAATATATCAAATTGTAAAGAATCATTATCCACCCAATTTTCAAAACTTTGCATTACTTTTAAGTTTTACCTGTATTCAATAATTCATATATACGGTATATATACACAAATTGTTAAATGTTAAGATACTGCACATTAAAGGTACCAGACATGATTAGCATTTTATGCTATTTTCTGGTCCCTATCATTCATTCGAGATATTTGTTAAACATACATTTATTATTGTTATTATTGTTATATTACTGTATTTGAACGTTTGGATAATAAAACCTCAATTCATGTAAAACCCTAAATAAATTCAAATCAAATACGAACAAAATCCATAATGATTGATTCTGCATAAATCAATAAGACACCATGCTCCAGATTTTAGGGAATGCAGTTTTAGTCTCAATAAAATCATGTAAAACCTTAATTTAATTCAAATTGAATACGAAGCAAACATTTATGTCAAAGTACATTGTTTGATCTTTTCCCAGTGCTGAATTGGTATTAAATATTTTTTCCAGAATTCAATATTTTGTAACTCCAGTATACTTATATTAGTTCTTTGTCTCAGACATTATCTGTACATCAGCATATTTTTTCCTTCATTTTCATTAACGTCACATACATCAACATCATCACCACCATCATCATAACCACCAGCATCATTTTTTTCTTTACATCATCCACCCCCTTTCCCCCATCTCGGGCCATCACGCTATCAAGCAAGCGCTTACTGTGATAGCCCTTCTTCTGTGGTAGTGTGTTATCATACATTTTTGTTCGACTCCGAGACCAAGTACTTAGGGGGGAGGGGGGGGGGGAGTAAAGTGACTCGGTAACATTGTTGAAGGTTGATGAAAAAAATTGCTTAAATTTTGTATAAAATGTTACTTACTATATTCCTTCTACTATACTAACCCTCTGAGATGCTAAAAATCCTGAACAAATTCTCAAACCACAAAGATATCTATGGTTTTCTTTGAAGGCGTCGATGTGAGGCACCCTCTAAAAGTGTTTAACAGTAAATTCTCCCAACCATTTTTGAATTTTCCCAACCGTTTTTCCATGAGAAAAATACATAAACCAGGCTATAAAAATATGTCAACACTTAAATGTCTGGAATGGAATGTTGAGCCATTTTATTGTTTTGTGACGATTTGCATTTACCTAAAATGTAATTAAATTGTCCTTGTCTTGATGCTGAACAGGCTTTGACAAGTAGCAGAATAGAAGTAGAATAATATAGTTGGGAGAATTAAGGAATCGATCAGATCAGTTTTTCCCAATTTGTACCATGAATAATGATCCGTTTTCACTGAATTTTTCAGATTATCTTTAATTGTACATCTAGCATTGAAGTCACTTCCTGAGCACCACTATCTCTCATCTAAACAATGTTACAAAGTCCCTTTAATGTCCATATTTATTATAATCAACTGTGTACACGTTCAAAACAATGTTATGTTTTGGATCTATATCAGTGGAAATGTAGTTTGATTTGTACATTGCATCAAATAAATTCAACTCGATTCAATTCCATTCAATACCAATCGTATACTACTAATGATAATTATTGAAACAAAAAGCAACAAAAGCAACAACAAAAAACTAAAAAAACTAAAACAAAAATAATGAATATAATGAAAAAACAATAATAATAATAATTATAACAATATCAAAAATGATACTCATAACTACAACAACAACAACAACAACATCATCTACTACTACCACTACTACCACTTTGGTTTTAGTTTCGGTTTGTTTGTTTGTTTTACCTGAGTGCTAAGAAAGCATGTGCAAGCTTGTAAGTAGCCATATTCGAGCATGATTTTAGATCACCCTTGTATTTTCTCTTTTCCCCTTTAGGTAACGCTGGAAGTTGGATGTTCGTGCAATACATGCAGATGACTATTGAAAACTGAGACGGTTTGTGATAGTCGAAGGTTTCTATATGTGAGGAATCCGGATTGTGCAAGAACCGGAAAATCAAATATATTTGAAATATGAATCTGTTGCATCAAGTCAATACTATCCAAACGTTTTCTGAATGATTCCCACACCGTTAACCTCGAATCTACTATCTTGTAAGGAGGTCTGAAATAAGCCGGAATATAACGTGACCGGTAAGGTGCATGGTTAGTATGGTTCCTGCTTAGAGAAACTCCTTCTAATGCAAACGTTATACTAGGTGAAGTGATAAAGTAACCATGCAAACGTACATTAGACCGAAAAGATCCTTTGTAGCTGGTACCATATTTGGAAGTTTTGTATTTGGTATGTGTTATTGCATTTCCAGCTATGCCTCACCTTTCATGGAGGGTTCAATAACCCAGGCAACAGCGGAAATCATCGAGCAAGACACGCTGCACGGCAGCCATCTTGAAAGTGAGCGCGATGGTTCTAATTCTGCAGGCGTAGGGACGAACTTTCCTGATATAGACCTGACTACGATGCAATGTCCGACGAAGGACTCCGCGGTAGATCCTAGCATCCTTGCCCAGTTAGACTGTAAGAAGCGGCTTCCTCACGTCATCGGGATCGGGATGGAGAAATGCGGGACCGGAGCCCTGTCGTTCTTCCTGGCCAGCCACCCTTCTCTCGTCCATTCTGTTCCCCCAGAGATTTACTATTGGAACAGGAATAAAGAGAAGAGCCTCGAGTGGTACCGAGACCAGATGCCAATCTCCTCCAAACACCAGGTAACAATGGAGAAAACGCCGTCGTACATCTTTGAAAAAGACACGCCGGCGAGGATCAAAGCGCTGATGCCCGAGACCAAATTCATCGTCATGATCCGGGATCCGATTGTCCGAGCTGTGTCCGATTACCTCCATCTACAACTTGTCGCACATCCGGCGTTCTTTAAACCGCGGATAGTTCAACCAGGCAATGAACCGAAGACTTACCTCAATACAACCTTTGAAGGATCCGTAATTAAACCGAATGGTGAAGTCAACACGGATAATTCTATCCTTTCGCACAGTGCATACGTGCTATATCTAAAGAAATGGATTGAGCTTTTTCCTCGACATCAGTTCCTCGCCATAGACGGCGATGAATTTGTTAAGAATCCTTTACCAGTCTTACATCAGGTAGGCCATTCTTAAATACTCCTTCTCCCCGTTTTTCAGTTCCATATCTCTATGTTTCTATCTCATTGCCCCACCCCTGTCCACTCCTTTCTATTTCTGTTTTTTTACAGTGCCTCTCCTTTTCCCCCAGGTTTATTTGGCATACAATCACATTCAGTTAAAGTAGCAACCAAATATAGAAAAGGAAAACAAAAAGAGGCCATCATTACATGTCATATTCTAAAAGTATTATGAGACTAACAATATTTTGTCCATTCCATATTAACCTCTTTTACCAGAGGCGTCGATTGTGTTTCTGTGTGTCTCTGGGGGAGGTGGCAGTTTGCCATTCCCAAGTGCCCCTTGGGGCCGCCCCAACCCGAGCACTGTTAAACGTCCACCATCTTTGGATCGCAAAGGACGGGGAGGGGGAGGGGGTGTGTATCTAAAGATAGGACCTTTGCCCAATCAGTCGACGCACCTGCCCTTAACCTATCTAACATTCTTAAAAGAAAATAATCGGTATCATTATCATGATTGATAGAAAATATAAACTCTTTTATTTCTTTTCTATTGTACAGACGATCACCATCAATGAAACATTCTTCTCCCTTGCCTCCACCCTTCCCCTATTTAATTTAAGAAGTAATTTGAAAAACATATCTATTTAGCACTATCTTAGATCTCAAAAAATATGAACTCAGTGTACCCTTTCCATTCCATCTGCATGTATTCTGTTCTGTAAAGCGCATAGAGACATGCAATTCTGCATATTTGTTATGCGCTATACAAAACCGTTTAATTATAATTATTTGTATTGATTCCAGGTCGAGTCTTTCTTAGGTATTCCTAACTACTTCAATGAAAAGATCGTCTACTTTGACGAACAGAAAGGCTTCTTCTGCATGTCGAAACGGCGCGGTTCGGGTACCGTCTGCCGTGGAGATAACAAAGGGAGACATCATCCAAACGTTGACGAGGACGTCATCAGGAGACTGAGAAGTTACTTCCGGCCCTACAATACTCAACTGGAAATTATGTTGGGCCAGCACTTCACATGGAGTTAGAGGGCAGTCCAACCTTGGTGGCAAGTTGAGAAGCAAGGAGGAACATCGTAGAGACGGGTTGGTGAAAGCTAAACGAAGATCTATTTGATTTGTTTTCATATATTTGATTTTTAAGTTTATTATTCTGCATTTCATATTAATAATAACATTTTTAAAAATCGGCAACATCACAGACATAAAACACTTAAAAGTACTTTCTGACAATTAATTAAGAATAATTATTTATTAATTTCTAAAATATAACAGATAAATGGTCAAATTGTCATATTTTATCACACTTTATCAACAATGATATAAAACAAAATATATAACTATTTGACAGTTATGATCATTAAATCTAATATGAAATCTGTGTAAATCTCAAATTGGCAATTCCTTGCAGGCCCGTAACCAGAGTTTTCAATTAGGGGGTTCGTTTTTAAACGGCTAGGGGTCCAGGAGCAACGCTCCGTCGGGAGTTTAGGGGTGAAGCCCCTGAGTTTCATGCTTCTTAAGACCCCAAAACGCCCTATTTTGCATATTTTTTCCTTCGACGTTTCATTAAATTATTAGAGAAAGAAGACGATTCGTTGTACCGTTCTCGACTTTTAATCCTTGTCTGAAATCAGTTTTCCCCCTCCCGCGCGAAGCGCGTAAGCTTTGACGTTTCATTAAATTATTAAGAAAGAAGACGAATCGTTGTAGCGTTCTCGATTCTTAATCCTTCTCTAAATTTAGTTCCCCTCCCCCTCCCGCGCGAAGCGCGGAAGATTTGACGTTTCATTAAATTATTAGAGAAAGATGCGTTAATTGTACCGTTCTCGACTCTTAATCTTTTTCTGAATTCAGTTTCCCCTATCCCGCGCAAAGCGCGGAAGCATTAACGTTTCATTAAATTATTGTAGAAAGTAGTGGGGGAGGGGGAGGAGGAGGGGGGGGGGGGTTTGTGTGAGCACTGCGTATTTTTTTCTTCAGGGGTATCTGAAAAAATAGAATGAACACTAGACCAATCGGGTTCCCGTTGGGTTGCACTCTTCCACAGAAGATCAGATACATGCAAAAAATAGTGTTTGAAAACTACGCATGTACTGGAACAGAATCCGATTTTTTTTTTACTCCCCCCCCCCCTCCCCCCTAAGTACTTGGTCTCGGAGTCGAACAAAAATGTACGAACCCCCCCCCCCCCCCCCCCCCCCCCCCCACTTAGAGGGGATTTCAATTTTGAAACAACTTGGTCTCGGTTTCGAAAATTTTGAGGGTACTTGGTTTCGGTTGGATTTTTAAAATAAAATACCCCCCCCCCCTTTTCTTTTTTTTTAAACCCGGGTTAGCCACTGCCTACAAGTACACCCGTGGTTTAGGCACTGGCGGCGCAGGTGAAATTATCTTACCGGTACCAGCTCTCACTTGAACGAGTAATCTCGCACTTCTCGTCTCTTCTCTTCTCTTCTCCTCTCCTCTCTTCTCTTCTCTTCTCCTCTCTTCTCCTCTTTTCTCTCCTCTTTTCTCTCTTTTCTTCCCCCTTTTTTTTACCTTTGAAAATTTTAGGGGGTTCGATCGACTCCCGCGACCCCCCTCCCCCTGGATACGGGCCTGCCTTCTTACAAATGAAGGGACAACATGTCTCATTTTTATTACACTGATAAAATGTAGATTCATCTTTCTCTCCTTAGTAACTACTTCTTAATGGGTGATGTACGCAGTTCTACTTCCGCAATTAATTGTATAATGTTTGATGAAATTTAGTATTCATGACAGTTTATCATTTCGTTTTTTAAAATAGCAATTGTTATATATATTTGCTTATTTATGATTCACTGTCAGAAAATGATTATTGTATTTTATATTACTGCTGTTATGGAACTTTTAACCAATAACCCGGGTAATTGTGTAAAGCGCCATCAGCGTCAGAGCCTGGCGGATACTGTCACTATATAAATATCCATATTAGTATTTAAATAACATCTGCATTATAAACAAAACAACGGCAGGAGTAGTATAGAACATACACACATGAAAGAGAATAGTGATTAATTGTAATTAGGCCGAATCAAATACATACGTTTTAAGATGTTTTCAAAATTCTTTAACTAATCTGCCATTACGAATCTCTACGATATAAATCTCAATCGCAGAGACTTTCGAAAAACTCAGCTGTAGGCAATTTCAGGAGTCTTGTCAGTCACTTGTTAATAAATGAGGACATTATAATTACGCATTACGTAATATAAACATACTTTCTATGTAGTCAGGTCAATATACGGTAAAAAACACCCCGACCCCCAAAAAATTGCAACAAAAGGTTTTTCAACGGTTTCTAATAGTATTCGACCTCAGGAATAACATACTAAAAGTAGACCAAAATCGAAGGTTCGGAAAGCTGTTTTTTTTCAAGATGGCGTCCAAGATGGCCGCCGATACCTAAAAATGGCCATAAATCACTTATTATCCATCCTAGAGACATCATTTTGGTGTTTATCCCATGGTTTCGGGGGTCAGAGAATCCATTGAGACAAGTAAGATTAGTTTGTGATGGTCTAGGAAACCCCAAAATCCAAGATGGCGTCCAAAATGGCCGCCATAACATAAAAATGGCCATAGGTCACTTATATTCCATCCGAAAGACTTAATTGGGGTGTCAATGCCATGGTTTTCGGGGTCATAGACTACATTAGGATAAGTTAGAACCTTGAGCAGTGGAAACCACGAAATCCAATATGGCGTCCAAAGGGCCACAAAACCACTAAGATTTGTCAATAGAGGGCGCACTTTATAAACAGGAAATAAACTTATAATGTTTCCCTCTCACCCTTATGGTGTCAACGACCCCCCCCCCCCCCCCCCCACCCCAGAAAAAGCGTCAATTCAACTATTGACAGGTCATTGTCAACACTAAGGGAGTGGCCGAGGGGGGTGGGGTGACAAAACAAAGTAAAAACTTAAAGGTAAAGATCAGTATTTAAAATGCCCCCCCCCCCTTTCAAAAAATGAAATAGAAGCTTTTATTACCAATCATGTGAAAGAATATGTTTTGACTAATACATGATGATACAAATTTGCCGAGAAACCACCTATTAATTGATATATTTGGTAAATTATTATATCTATTTGGACCTGATATATATCGTGAACGTGACGTGCACGTGTCGCGTAGTCCCATATACTGGGCCAAAGATCATTTTGATGATTCCAGAACCTTGCAGTACACACCAGTTCTTATATGCTAGATGATCAACCTTTTCTGATCGATTCCACAACGTTTCTTTCACAATGCAAACGCATGACCATAACTGGCCTTTATCTTTAATAACAATATCTAGACACACATTCATAGTACCTACCATACAATTAAAAATGTTTAAAACCTCATGTTGTTCGTGTCATATAGCTAATACACATGCAGATCTTCATGTTCCTTCATTTTGATGAGAAATGTACTTTAGTAAGGAAAAATCATCTTCTGCTTCACTATCAAGTGACTCGTTAATATGGATTGTGGAATACATCAACACACTGTAACATGGTAGTCCGTAACATCTGCAGGTATAGCGAGGTGTGCTACAAGTAGTACAGAAGTCGCAATGAATCAACTTAAGAAGATTATTAGGCGCAGCCTCCGTATTTGATATTAGTGAAACCAGATGATTGTCCTCTAATTTCCAGCCCCGGTCTGTGACGTCAATGTCTTCTCACTCTCCATCCATGCCCTGACTTGGTAGCCCGGGAAGGGGATAGTCACGTGTCACGCTCTAATGAGTCACTTTTTCACCAAGAATCCCTAAACATGGATCCTATTTTTAACAAAAATATTCCTAAACATGGGTCCGTGTTTTCAAAATTACCAACATTTTCGGGTGTTTGCATTGTGAAAATTGTGAAAAGTGGGCTTCACTTCGAGAAAAATGACCGCTAAAAATAGGTAGGGGTTTCTAATCTAATTCCCCCCCCCCCCCCCACCCGGGCTTAGTAGTATGTTCTGAGGGAGTGCATTTGGTGAAGGCTGACGTAGGAGGGAGTTTCATTGGCAATTTTCTTGACAAACAAGTTGTATCGTAATGATGCAACTGAGTCATTACAGCGGCCACCAAACATGACAGACATTGCTTTAATACCAAGTTCCTCTAAGTTAGTAATTACTTTGGCTGTCTTGGTAGAAGGACGGTACTAGCACATGATTCCAAAGTGAGGTTGCATTTCACAAGCTTCTGGAAGACTGCTTTCTTTCCTATTCCGAATATCCGGGAAGTCGAATCGCAATCGGTGTAGGCATCCAGAAAAAGTAGTTGTGAGCACAGATCCCGTACCAATGTCCACTTTCAACTGCTTACAGTTCTACATCTTCAGAGGCTTGGCTGCATTGTAAGAGTGGAAGTATAGTTTCCTGCTATCTGTTCTAAGGATTTTGCGAAGTCCGGTTCCTTTCATCAGGGTACTGATTGTCTGGAAGCAACCTAATTGCAAGTCAATCCCTTTCAGTGGGCTATTCTGGGGTACATCGATAATTATAGCTCAGCAGCCTTCCAATATGCTGTTTTAATAGAATAGTCTCGTTCAAAAGGAAAGACAAAGCTACGACTCTGGGAGAGATTTCGAAAGTACAAATTGTACCTGAACAAACCATACACGCTGCTTGCTTTGCTGTTTCAACAGTTCCTGGTAGTTTAAAAAACAAGGTAACTTGAGGTAGCAGAGGTGATGAGCTTAATTGAGCTCAGTCTGTTCATACCTGCACTTTTCGAGGCTAGGAATGTCTTTCGGAAGGCTGAGAAGCCTCAGCTAGCTCATGTTATAACCGATCATGCAAGGAAAGTGTCGGGTGAAGCCGTGAAAGAACACAGACCAGTAATTTCCTTGATGGTGGTTCCTTGGTGCATCCGATACCATGGAAGACAGGAGACAGCTTTGGCAGAATAGCACGATCATATCCTGATTTCAACCCCCCCCCCCCACCCACTATATGGTTCTGCAAATGTAGTTTTTGACGGCTATGGTGGAGGGCCGTCAATCAATGATAATACACACCAGCGACGTAGACAGAATGCCCATCCAGATGTCAGATTCAATGCAGACACAGTATTCTCAGGCAAGAAGAGTTTTTATCAAGAGACTGCAATATTAAAAGCAGGGACTCATAAATCTCATTAGTGAGGAACTGAGGAAGAGTAATTGCACCGTCATCAATGTATCCGGGGATGCAGATATACATATTGCTAAAGCTGCAGTGAATTCTTCTCGTCGTCAGTCGACTACTCCGATTTAAGAAGGCACTGATCTACTTGTGTTACTCTTGCTTTACGCGGATGTAGATAGCAGGGAACTTTCAGGATATTCGGAATCGGTAAGAGAGCAGTCTTCCAGAAGCTTGTGAAATGCAGCCCCACTTAAGAATCCAGTGCTAGTACTTTCCTTCTTCCAAGTCAGCCACAAGAACTAATAGAGGAACTTGGTATCTAAGCAATGTCTTTCATGTTTGGTTGCTGCTGTAATGACTCAGTTGCATCATTACAATACAACTTGTTTATCAAGAAAATTGCCAATGCGACTCCCTCCTAAGCCAGCCTCCACCGAATTCCATTACCTC